CCATTTCGTTGACGGGTCCACGTGGCACCAAACCGATGGTTTCTAAAATATGGTTTTGGTTCGATTTTTCGGTTTGGCGGTTTTTGCTTACAGCTCTAGCTAACATAAGATTGTCAAACGGTGAGTTATCACAAATCATCATTTTGTCCGTCATGTCATAAATTCCATTAATTTATAAAACAACGAGGATCAAGTTGTGCATCAAAGTTTATTTAGGATGTGTTTGAGCCACATTATTTTGAAAGAATGTATTCTAGAATAATAGATTGATAGCGAATGTGTCGTTGAAAAAGAAGGAAAAATTATTGATGTGATGAAAAATATTATTTTATTGAAAAATGTGTGGTTGAAAATGAGAATGAAAATGAAAATGAGAATGTGGCTCAAACAGGGGCTATATATATGTGGAGTATAATACATATTTATTCGATAGACTTAGAGAGTGATCCAAAAGATCTAGAAAGAGACTCGCATGACAGAGATATCAGATTTAGCGTCTTGTGGGATCTAGGTTCACATAACATATTTGTAATTCCTTACTATTGATTATAGTGAATTCTTCGCCTCTAATCGTAGTTTNAAATAAAGAATGACTTGTAACTATTGCCCAAACTTTTAAAAAAAGTGCAAATAAGCCACCAAATATCACATTCTTCCCAAAACTCACCATTACCTTACACCCACCGCCTGCTGGCCTGAGCCAAAACATAAATTTTTTTTCAATAATTTGTTTCCTTGTGAATTCCTGTATACTGTTTAAACAAAAAATCATCATTGAAGAATGAACATCTAAAATTTAAAATTGCCCAAAAAGAAAATTTATTACAAGTGAAAATCTTGGAATTCTCGCTGTTGAAGAGCTTCTTCCAAGAAAAACTCACACTTCTCCATCAAATCAGGGCTTAGTGTAAACATCAAAACACAAAATTCCATCTGATTGAGAGCTCCATCTCCATCAAAATCACCTTCTTTAAGCATGCTATAAAGATCATCATCTGACAAATCTTGTAATCCCAACAAAGCAGAATTTTTTAAAGACTCTCAAACGTAATAACCCCTTTGCTAGAATCCATCAATAAATTGAACCCATTACACAGTTCTGCTATTAGATCGTCCCCGCCGAGCTTCTCGGCCATGAGAGACAAGAAATCTTGAAAATTGGGCTGATTTTTTGATGTCATAATGGGATTCTTTTGAAGCTTTTTTTGGGTTAGAAATGGGATTGTTTTGGGATGGTCTGTGGATTGAGTGGGTGGAATAATATAGGAGAAATAATGGTGTTTCCAAGAAGGGGGAAGGGGTGGTGCTGGCATTTTGGACAACTAAGGGACAGCGAGTTTTCGAAAAGGTGAAGAAAAGGTCCGTGGATGTTGGCTTGGTTTTTAATGAACAAGAAATTGCCTCTAGGTTTCTTGGGGGCCGTGGACTTGTTCTGGAGGGGTAAAATTGTCAAAGTACACCAGAGGACTGATTTTTGCCGACTTGGGATGAAAGTTTCGAAGATTTTGAATGGAAAGGAGGGGGTTCTTAAAGAGGGTAGAAATGGAATTATATATCCCTCCAAATAGGTTTGAATTGTTTCAAACATCACGGAACTTATACCATCGTCACAGACTGCTTATCGAACTTTATTCTGCTTCACAATACTCACTCAACTTTGCCATTTATCTATCCATCCACCACTGTCAAAAAATTCGTTTGTTGGGCGTTGACGTGGCGGACGGAATTCAGAGGTGGCGTCTTGGGTGTCCAGAATTTTTCTTAATTTGGGTGAGTTTTGGCAAGAATTGTTATTAATGGGGCAACAGTGAGTTTTGGGAAGAATGTGAAATTTGGTGTGTTATTTGCACTTTTTAAAAAATTTGGGTTATAGTTACAATTTATTCTTTATTTTTCTTTTCTTTTGTGTTTGTTTTATTTTAATAGAAGGTAAAATGGTCAAAAATAGACGAAAAAGACGTTTTGAATCAAAAATGTGAAAGGTATGGACGTTCTGTATCAAAAAATAAAAGGTGGGGATGTTTTGCACAAAACCATGCAAAGATAGGGACGTTTTGCGCCAATTTCCCAATATTTATTTATTCTTCTTTTTGGAGCAAAGCTTTTATTTTTAATAAATATATTTTTGAATAAGTAACTTATTAACATGAATAGTTCCAAGTGGCAAAAATGCCCTAAAAAGACAACATAAATTGAAATATGATACACATTTAGACCTACGTATCACACATTTTGTTCGACTCTATCCGTTTGATTTATTCACGATTTTCTTTCTTTTTGGTTTATTTCTTAACTTCAATTTAGAATACCGAATGAAGTTTTGACAACAATTTTTTCAGACCGATTCTTTTAATTTTATTTTCATTATTATTAATTCTGAGAACAAAGAATGTAAAGAGGAGGAGTTGAAGTCTTATCTCTACGAGTTTCTGTTGCACTTTTTTTTTTTTTTTTTCATTTTAATGGAAATTATTTCAATAATTTTGAGTAGATTCTGATTATTTAATATTCATAATTAACTGAGATTAACGTAGCAAATTATACTATCGTAAAATTAAGATATGACATAATTAAGAAAATAAAAAATATATGAATTTTTTTGAAGATTTATGTTTGTTCGATAAAAATGGATAAAATTTTTGAATCCACATAATATATAAATGAAAATGATATTTGACTTAAGTTATATAGAAAATAGGTAACATTACACGTTTTTCTCCAAGGTTGCATTATTGTTTGTGTAGGGTACAATTATGTGTAAGTGTCCATAGTAACATTACACGTTTTTCTCCAATCCTTTTGTCTAGCTAGGTTGCATTATTGTTTGTGTAGGGTCCAATTATATTGGTAAAAGCCGTGGTAGGAATCCAATGTTGGTAAAAGGTAACTACAAAGTGCTTCTGATAGACTTGTCAATTCTTTCATGATTGTCTGCTTATGGAGTAAAAAAATTATTTTAAGAACCTTGCTACTTGTACAAAAGAATTTGTACAAAAATGTTGACAAACCCTCATATGTGGGGGGGCCCACTTTTTATTTTCAATTTTTTATTCATGTGGGGCCGGCAATCATGTGAGTGTTTGCCAACATTTTTGTCAAATTCTTTTTGTACAAATAGCTTTATTCTTATTTTAAATTCAACAATTTCTTGAAATTATAAATTCCTCTCTCTTTAGCACATTCACAATTGTTCACATTCACAAAGCAACCTAAATACCAATACGATCAATTTGATGAATTAGTCTATGTTCTAATTGAAGTTCACACAACGGGACTCTTCTTATGTTTCAAGATTAGAAATACTTGAATATATTTACTTGGTGACTGTACTGTTTTTGTGTTGATTGCCAGTGCTTTCCATAAGAGCATGTTTGGTATGGCTTAAAAGCTACATAAAAAGACAAAATTCTTACTGTCGAGATAAGCTAAAATTTTAGCGAAAAGGCCACTTTTCTAAAAGAAAGAAGCAAAGCCAAACATGCAACACCACTGTAATCGAACTTCTAATTGAGCAATATTGTGCAGATTCCCTCACTGGTTTTCAACTTTCCCTCGCTGCAAATATCACTATATATTAAAAATATTCGAGCTCATTTTGTTTAATATCTAGGTTAAATAAAAACTTCTAAATGTGAATGTTTATTTTCTGAAATGATTTAGAAATTAAAACTCTTTTTAAACTTACGAAACATTTCTTGAACTCAAAAATTTTCCCCCCCCTTTTTTTTTTGTGCCTTAGGTAAATATTTGAAAACTACTTTGTAACTTTAATCCCTGTAATACAGAAATAACAATAATTAGAGTTGAATTAATATATAACTTTTAAAAGAGAAATTAACACATAATGTTCTTACCTTTTATTATTATTGAAGAAAACGTCATTACTTTTTATTTTTTTAGCATTTTCACCCTTATTTCCACATTTTATTGCACAAAAGGTCATTTTTATCCATTTTCTCAATTAAAAGATGTGAAATAACAAATATACACTTCTGTTTAAGCAAAAGGAAAAAAACTAATTGCAACCATAGTCTTCAATTTTTTTAAAAAGTGAAAACGAATTTCAAATAAATTATTAAAATGGTAATTAATACATAATATCACTACCTTTTATTTGTTTTGACATTTTGACTTTTAATTACACATTTAACTGTTCAAACTATCATTTCTATTCGTTTTTATTCAAATAATTTATTTGGGACTCGTTTGTAATTTTTTTTAAAAAAAATTGGAATTATGATGACAATTAATTCTTTTTTTTTCTTTTTTGTTTTATTACATAGAAAGGGTATGCTCGTCATTTTACAATTTTAATTGAAAAAATGAATGAAAAATTGCATAATAAAATGTGAAAGTAAAGGTGAAAATGCAGAAAAATGAAAAATAAAGACGTTTTCCCCAATTAAAGTATTAAATGTTCACTTTACAAGACTAAATGTAGTTTTTTATACATGGTTTCCACAGCATTAATTACACGTAAGAAAAAAAATAGTGTTTTGATCACATGCGGCGTCATACCGTGACGCAAGTTTCATTTCACATTCTGTTTAACGGCATGGCTTTCTCAACTTAGAATCACATTATCATATGTTGAGGGACACAGAAGACAATTTACCGATCAGAATTCCCTATAAATAGGCCAACTTACTACACTTCAAGGTACCCTAAATCTTCATTTGTAGCAATGGATGTCCAAAACAACTTAATGATGATTGCTAGTGCCGATGGATCTCCACTAATTGAATATCCCGTTTCTAGTCAGGTGAACAATTATACTCTAGCCAAGATCAAGCGCTCAGATTTTCCAGATGATTTTGCATTCGGCGCTGCAACTTCGGCTTATCAGGTAAAACAAACTCATGCTTTTGTGATATCATTTCAAGAAGAAAAAGAACAATCACTCATGTAATTTCCCTTGTTCTTGCTCTTGTAATTATGCAGATTGAAGGAGCATGGAATGTAGGAAGTAAAGGAATGAGTATTTGGGATGTTTTCACACAGAAACAACCTGGTCTCTTCTCTTTTTTCAGTCTTCTCGTGTCGTGTGTGAATATACAAAAACGAAACGTGTATCTGTGTGTTTCTTGTCCATTGCTGAGAATATGTTTATTGGATTGGCAGGTGGTATTGCAGACGGTAGCAATGGCTGTGTTGCTATTGATCACTATAATATGTTCCGGGTATATTTTTAGTATAGCATATCGCTTAGCTGAGTAAATTAAATGCAAATCTTCTTTTAATACTCTCCACTACAATTCTTTTCCATTATATTATCTATCCCCACTTCGTATTAAAAATGAACTCGTATGACTATACGATTCTTATTTTCCCTTCATTTTGCTTACCTTTAATGTCGAGTTTTCTGCTCGTTAATTTTAATAACAATATATTCCATATTCCTTTTACTCTTAAGGCAACACAAGATAAAAGTGTTTTTTTTTTTTTTGCTCTGGAACATTTCCATGCAAGTGTGTTCATATTTAATAATGTTGCAGGAAGACGTGACTTTGATGAAGAAATTGGGTTTGAATTCGTACAGATTTTCAATAGCATGGTCTAGAATCTTGCCAGGCACGTTAGTTCATAATTGTCATCGAGTTTGTGCTTCATTTTATGATGTTCTATTAAATGCAAGTCGATGTTCTATTTAAATTAATTTGCATTCTATATTGGTTCTTTAGGAGGAAGATTATGTACGGGCATAGATAAAGATGGAATTAAGTTCTATAACGATCTCATTGATGCACTCTTGACAGCAGGTTAGAGTCAATTGCATAGTTCTTGTATTTATTACTTCTTTAACAACTTTTATTTGCATAATTCACAATTAGTCTATAATTTGGTATAAATATACTGAAAATCTTACATATAAATATACTGAAAATTTTATTCGTTGTCTCACATTCTTTCAATCTCTTTTGGTAGGCATTGAGCCATATGTAACTCTCTTTCACTGGGATGTTCCCCAGTGTTTGGAAGAAGAGTATGGTGGTTTCCTAAGTAACAGAATTGTGTAAGTAACTCGATCTTGCATCATATGGCAAATTTACAAGTGAGATATTTAAGGAATCCAAAGTAAGAAAAACTATTATTTGCTCCAACATTAGTGAAGAGAAATAAGAAATTTTTATCTAAGAAAAATGGATTATAATTTATGAATATCTTTTACAATGATTAAAGTTCCAGCCTAACAAGTTTTAGCATATTTTGATATATTTTGCCATTTTGTGTATCTGTACTATAGGAAGGATTTTTGTGAGTTTGCTGAGATTTGCTTCTGGGAATTTGGTGATCGGGTGAAATATTGGATCACACTAAATGAGCCATGGTCCTTTAGTGTTCAAGGATATGCGACTGGCGCTTTTCCTCCTAATCGCGGTAAACATCCAACAACTACAGGAGAGGCCACAACGCATTCCCGTCTTCATAGAGGTAGATCTAGACATCATATTGCTTGCAAGTATGGAGATCCTGGCACAGAACCGTATAAAGTGGCACACAATTTGATCCTTTCTCATGCGTATGCAGTGGATATATATAAAACAAAATATCAGGTTTCCACGTTAATTTCGTCAGTAATTATATGCTTATATACGCACGTGTTTATATAATACTTTGAAATACATAGTTACACAAATGGATACATTTCTACAAACAGGAAAATCAAGGAGGTCAGATAGGGATGACAAATTGCGTTCAGTGGTATGAGCCTCTTACTGATTCTCAAGAAGATAAGGATGCTGCTTCTAGGGGACTTGATTTCATGCTGGGATGGTAACTAAATATCCCAATTTACTTTCTTCTTAGTTCATTGTTGCATGCTTTTTATGATTTCATTCTAAAAGTTTCAAAAACTAGAAATTGACCACATATCTTTCTATTGAATCCGGTATTCAACAAATAAAAATTACAATATTTCTGTTTTATTTTTTTCATTTTCCATGTTCCTATTTTGTAGGTTTGTAGAGCCGCTAGTAACTGGAGACTATCCAGAAAGTATGATAAAAAATGTCGGAAAACGTCTTCCGAAATTTGAAGAAAAAGAGGAGAAGCTAGTGAAAGGTTCCTATGACTTTTTAGGCATAAACTATTACACGGCTAGTTATGCCGCCAATGATCCAATATTGCCAACAACTGATAGTTACCTTACCGATTCGCACATTTTGACTTCGCGTAAGTATTAAGACCTTTTATAGGTACAACCATATGGTTTATCATTACAAATTTATTATACAATACTTGTAACATGATACTAATTGCTCTCGTTCTTTAGATGATCGTAATGGGGTGCCTATTGGTGCGAAGGTATGCAAACTCTTGCCCTTACCTTAAAAAAATAAAATGATATATAGGATTATACTCTAACGTACATCTTATAAAAGTATAATTCAACAATTTATAACAATGCATTGTTGTGTCATATTTAAGAGCCAAAACGAATTAAAATACTACCAATGGTTTAATTTTTTTTTTTCTATAAAACAATATAGATAGAGTAAATCTTGTTCTTTTATGTCAGGGTGGTTCGGATTGGTTGTACATAGTTCCATGGGGAATTTACAAGCTTATGCTTGATATAAAGGAAAAATATCAGAATCCGGTCATTTACATAACAGAGAATGGTAAGTAGTCGTGTTTTAATATATAATTAAACAAGTTATGAAAATACTAGAGTCCGTTATCCTTTTACCAAAATAATATCTCTACAATTTTTGTATAGGAGTGGATGAAGTCAATGAAAAGACCAAAAGTAGTGCACAATGCCTCTCAGATGAAATAAGGATTCACTATTTTCAAGATCATCTCTACAACCTTAAGCAAGCAATGAAGTAATTAATTCGTTGTTCAAATTAATTATATTATGGAAACATTAAAGATTAATTCGTTGTTGACTCAATTAACATTAAAGATTTTGCTTGCTTTCCTTTTTTCAGCCAAGGCGTAAATGTGAAGGGTTACTTCATTTGGTCTTTGTTTGATAATTTTGAATGGGCCTCGGGATACACTGTTAGATTTGGCATTATTTATGTAGACTACGTGAATGGACGTTTCACAAGGTTGCCAAAAAACTCAGCTGTATGGTTGAGGAAATTTCTCACCAAGAAGGTTGTAAATCCAGCAAACAAAGAACCTGAAAAAGCTGACGAGCGCCGTAAAAGGCTAAGAAGCGGCTAATTGAGCTTATAAAAATTAGTGCCTCCTTAATGTTATGTTGAATTTTGCATGGTTGCAATTGTCGCTCTTGATTTGTTTCCTTTTCTTGTGTGGATTGAGTGTTTCGACCTGTACTCGTTGTTTTCGAATAAAAGGAGGTGGCCGATGAGGCTTCGAGTCAAATTGTCGTGTTGATTGTTTGATAAAAATGTGTTATGTCCAAGGTCTCTAATAATATAAATAAATAGAAAACCAGAGTAGAATGACTGGTATTCTAGCTGGACCGTATTCCTCATTGCAAGTTGCAATAGATCAAAAATTAAAGGTTTGGAGTGGCTTTTTCACTAATATATACAGAAATAAACAGGGCCGGCCCTAGGCAACTAATTATTTGACTACGTCTTCATTATGTATTTCTTTACTAACACTAAAAAACTTATCAAGTGTTCCCTCTTGAGATTTAATAAGTTGTTCAACCTTCTTATTCTGTTTTCTTTTGAAATATCCAGATTCAAATTTTCTAGTGGATATAATTAAAAGAAAAGAATAATAGAACCTGATCGAGGTGTTCGAATAAAAAATATTCCAATTCCCAAATATCGCCAAGTGAAGGAATTCAACAATCAACCTGCAAGAAATAATCAAACAACATTTTGAATAGAAAGTAAGATTTAGAAAAGTTAAAATTATTTACAACCTAATTAAATCCATGAATTCTAGGAATTGACCACAAAATAATCAAGAATACCGTCTCAATTATAAACTTGCACAAACAAATAGCAATGGACATGAAACGGTAAACTTGCACGAAGAAATAGCAATTGACAGGAAAGTAATATTTTGTCATCAACTAGGAAAGAGATTAAAAATTTAAAATCATTGGGAGATTACGCAGAAAATTAATTCAGTTCTTATATACTTATATTAGCTGCAATCACGTATAAAATGATTGAAGTACACAACTTAATTATATATTGAGCCAATGGACCAAACTTTACATGAAAATTTATGGTTCTTCAAACTTCTTAATCATGAATTTCTCAAGCAAAATTACATGAAACAAAATAATTACTCTCTAAGTTTGGAGGACAAAGGTCAAGACTCAAAAGGAATAGGATTGACAGTTGAAACCCTAGGAAGTGGAAAGGTTGGAGAAGTGAATTCAATTATTCAAGAATCTCTACAAATCCTTCTTCCACACGGTTGGACTTTTCTTAAAATCTATTCTATAATTTAGAGTCTGTTTGGAGGTGATTCTCACCAAATTTTGCCCATGTTTGGGCCACATTATTTTTTCCATTCTCATTTTTCTACTCATTTTCAACCATACATTTTTCAATAAAATAATATTTTCCATCACATCAATAACTTTTTCTTTTTTTTTAAACCATATATTCTCCATCACATCATTTCAAAAAAATGAATTCTCTCATTTTAATGTGTACCAAACGAGCTTTTAATACAAATTTAGACAGTTGGAAATGTAGGCAAAGAATTCTAGCCGCAATGTTGGACTCAATAGTTCCTAAATTACCACAAATGCCCTTCATTCAAATAGAATGAATTAAAGGTTAAAATGGCATATAGGTAATTTTGTTCAATTTGGCCAAACTTGAGGGTCCCACCGTGAATCAAAAAGTCAAACAAAGTGGCCTAACGGTAAATGACAGTAAGAATTTAAAACAAGGGAACAATACATATCTACTAGTTTTAAAGTTCACATTTCAAAACTAACAAATTTGTTTAATTATTTCAAAAATCAGGTGATAAATAAATTAATTAAATATTAAATTATAATATATTAAATATTAAATTATAATATAATATATATTAATTATTTACACCACCCCATGACACCTCACCCACCCCATCTCCTCACTACACCACCACCCTCCATCTCCGGCACGGTCCGGCCACTGCTCCGGCGACTTCTCCGGCGATCGTTCCGACAATTTCAAAATTTTCAGAAAATTGAAAATCACACCCCCAACCCATGGATTGGTCACAATCGGCCACAAACGGTCACAATCGGTCTCAATGAGTCACAATTAATCAGTCACAAACGGTCACAATAGGTCACAAAAGGTCACAGTCAGTCACAAACGGTCACAATGAACTACCCGGTAGTCAAATCGCGATCTGGATTAGACTGTTTCGACGCCACTCCGGCGACTTCAACTTACCTACCCCATCCACCAATTCCCAACTTCTAAAAAATTTTCAGA